ATGGAAGAATATGCTGATTTTTAGGCGAGCTTATAAACCTGCATCCACAGAAAAATTGTTAGTTTAAAATGAACTGATCTGTGTCGATCTCTTCGGTTGTCTGCTCCTTGTCTTGCTATCTCCGGTTGATTTCTCCGATCTCCCGCCTCTTGATAGATAAGACAAAATATTTTTATGCAAAATAATTGAAACATGAAAGAAAAGTTTTAAGAAAAAATAGACTTTCAACAAAATAATATTTGGAAAAGGTCACTGCTAAGTGTCATATCACGTCAAGCTTGATGAACGCCAGTTGGAGTTGATGTTTTAGGATCTGTCTGATTACTTGCTGGGACATATTCAAAGTTGCTCTAACCTGCCGATGAACTTTGTTGAAATTTTGAGGTCATCCTCAAAATTTCTGTCCCAGTCAACTGTCTTAGCTTATCTTTAACCGTGGGTGATCAAATCACGGAATTTTTTGAGATCCTCTCAAAAATTCTGTCCCAGTTGCAAATCTACAAAGTAACTTCTGTCTCAACTTTGTTAGAGAGATCTTTTCCTCGAGAATTTTTGAGTCCTACTAAAAAATTCTCTCTCAGTTTCAATTGTAAAGAGAAATAAAAATCTTACGGGAGATATGACCGAGCCGTTGTGGCGCCTACGTATCTCGTTGAGGCAGGAATCAGGTCAAACGTAGTTCAAATACAAAGAAAAATATTAAAAGGGGATAAAGGAGTGACCGAGGCCAACATAGGCCGCCTACGTATCTCATAAAGGAAAATTCAAGTCAAACGTAGTTCATTTACAAAAGGAATAAGTTTTGAACATAAATGATTACAAGCAAATAAAAGCGATTACAAGGAAAAGACGAAAACCGAGTCTTCAAACGTGGTATCTTTTAACAAGACTTAAGTAAATTGAGGACTTGTGAGATCCAATCTTCATGATCAACCATGTAATGTCGTTATCAAACAAATGTATCGATGTGTTCTCCAAGCAAACTGATGAGTTCTCTTTCTTGTGTTTTTGTCAGATAGGCACCAATTTTGATTTCTTTGATGCGTTCATCATTTTCCTGATTCACTATTCCGATATCTTCTGAATTCGACTTATTGTGATTTTTGAACTTTCTGAACTCCTCAACCAGGTGTTTGGGTACCATGATCTTCTCATTGTAGTCCCCAAATTCCTCCGCATCTACCCAATTTTGTTCATTCAGCTTGTGACATGACATGATATTGACAGATTTGAAAATATTTTCACTGGAATCATAAACAGATCTTGTTAGATAAATATAAAGCAAGTAAAACAAATGTTCGCAATAAGGGAGTTTTTCATTTGAAATAAGAAAATAAGAACTCCGGCAATGACAATAAATCATTTTTCCCCTTTTTAAAATATAAGGAGGGAGATTAAAACATATTGAGGCAAAAATAGAGTAAAGGATGGGTCTCGAGTCTCATTCGAAACGCCACCAATTTTAAAAACAACATAGAAAATTGTTTATTTCTACCAAGACGAGCTAGGAATCAAGAGAGGAGTGGATGTCCAGTCAGGCATTTTCTCATTTGGCTCGTTGTCTAGTATGACTGGCGTCTCAAGAAATCAAGAGAAGAGTGGATGTACAGTCAGGCATTTGCTCATTTGGCTCGTTGTCTAGTATGACTGGCGTCTCAATCATCTTTTTAAGCACAATATCATCTTCTTTGACCAAATTTTTGATCCCTTCCCCTAGATTATTTTGCATTGGGAAAGACTTATATGAGTGAGGCAATGGTTTTGATAAAGCTTGATCAATCTTCAGCTTGTTCTGATCCTCATTTGGCACTAAAGCAAAAGCTTGATGAGGTGCCATGGTTCCAAATTCAGATTTCTCCCTTTTGGTTGGAGAGACTACAAATTTCTCAAGTTTTTCAAGGTTGACTGAGATTATAACTTTCTCCACATTCAAATCTTCTTTGACTTCAATCATATTAATAGTCAACCCTCCATGATTCGGCATGGGGTTACTATTGACATTAGGAGTGGACGTCTGAAGAGTGACGACCTTTTGATCTATCAGGTCTTGAATTTTATGCTTCAAGTCGATACAATCCTCAATATTATGCCCAGCACTTCCTGAATGGTAAGCACAGTGAAGATCGGGTCTATAAAACTTGGAGTTGACATTGATATTTTTTGGATCAATTGTATGTATCAGGCCATCTAATTGCAATCTCGCAAAAAGTTGGGTTCGACTCTCAATCAAGGGGGTGAAAACTCTAAAAGGTTTCTTCTCAAGATCTGGGCAAGGAGGATTGTAATTATTTCCTGGATGTGAAGGTCCTTGACGGTAATTTGGAGGATTTTGGTGAGTTGGTGCTTGCGTTTGAAAATTTGGGTATCGTGGAGCTCGGTAGCTAGAAGGGGTGTTTTGGTAGTGCAGATGTGGAGTTTGGTGACTTGATTGGATATTTGAACAATTAATTGAAGGAGCTTGGTAATATGGATGGGTATTTTGGTAAAGTGGAGGAGGAGTTTGGTAAACAAAAG